ACAAAGACCGAGATTAGAAATATCGAAGCGATTATTTAAATGCGTCCACAATACAACCTCTGTCACAGATTACGTCCGAGGGATTTGATTCAATTCTCGCCGGTACATAATTGATAAAGATTTTTTACTGTTATGGTAATCCCCATAGAAATGCTAATTTTGATGTTAAAAAACCCGTCTCTTTGTGCCGGCAACAACCTGAAAACATCCCTGACGCGACCGGAAAGGGGAAATCGAATTGTCCGCGGATCGGAATCGGCAAATCGCTGAAATGACAGTAAAATGTTTCAAAGGGGATATAGATGGCCACTATGCAAAGCATCCGATGGATTATGGAGAGTTGGGGGTGGCATAATAGACTCGGAACGGCCCGAATTGTCCCCGTTGTGTTTGTGCAGTGTTTTATGTTATGAGGTTTTCGATTCGTTGTATTCATTAGGATATAACTCCGGTGCTTTCGACGGGGATGCCCAGATCCGCTCGAGCACTAATTAAAATTAGATTCGAACAAATGGAGCTTTGTCGAAACGAAAAAATGGGGGATTACGAAGCACTCGCACAAAAAAAAATTATCTCACAAAATTCAAAATTTATTGCTGACTATCACTTACTCGGATTTGAATAGTTGGGACCTGTTGAATCTCGGATGGCTAAGTAATTTGTTTACCAGGGGTTTACTACACCCCATTAGATGTTTGGGGGTTCAATTTTATACTTGAAAATTGTCATAAAATTTTCGTTTAAATTTGAAGACAAAGTGCCAAAGTGGGGAGTCAGTTGTGACATAATGGGAACACATTTTAACTACTGTGACACACTATAAACTTTTGAGCGAATTGGATTATAATTTGAAAAAGAAATTTGTATTAGGTATTATTGTGCTTTTTGAGTTTTGCTGAATCATTTTGTAATCCCCTTATCTGTGCTAACTCTGATTTGCAGCTTTTGAGGCTTTATACAAACGAGAGCTTTTGATCCAATGTTCAACGTGAGATCGTTATTGTAAAAAAATGAGTGTCTATAATAAATCATTTGAAAATAAATTTGTTGACAAAAACGCAGGGACGGTCGTAGTTGTTTCGAATAATTCTTTAATGAAGACAGTCTTAGGGTGATTAGTTCCCGAAAAGCTCTAAGTAGTGTATAGGTCGTTGTGAGGTCGGTGTAGCGATGGCAATAGATAAAAGGAGCTATTGTTCGGAAAGCATTACACGTATTCATGTGTCATTGAGTTGGGGGGTGTCTACCCTCTAGTCTCCCGATAATAAAAGCTCCAGCGTTTACATAATGACCGTCACAATGCGTGTCATCAACAGTGCTTGTTCATCTCGGAAGTCATTTTCGATCGAATCTACTTGACCCGTCTAGCGAAATTCGCCGTCCATTAAGTTATAAATCCGGCGTTGTTTTTTGTTGCCCATATATGACTAGTCGTCTGATAAACGAGTTGAATAAAATGCGTTTTAGTTATTCCAGTAATTGGATTTCTTGTACACGTTGTCCATTACGAGCTAGCTCTCCTGTTATGTTTGTATTTTCTTAAGTTATGGACGCACTTCTGTTGTTTCTTGTTGCCATACTTTATCGGAGATCCCGGAGCGAGTCGCTCGCTGTTCTTGTTTCCGTTCTGATGAATGTCAAACACGCCACACCATTATCAAAGCGAATATCGCGCCGGAAAAAATGATACAATAACTCAAAGGGTGCCTTTATTTATTCGACTAACTTCGGTGTATATGTGCGGCCATCAAAGCCTATTTATTTTCCGCTGAGAATCCGGCCAACCGTTTTACTAACGCATCATCTACCAGGGGGTTGAGGACAAAAGTACGACTTGTTTAGGATTGTTCAGAGACAAGGCGATATTTCACCGAAAGGCGGATGTTCGCTTCCTTAGAATAACACACATGATGCTTGTTTACGACCGACACACGCATCCATCATCTTCGTCAGGTCGTGCGAAAGTCGCTAGAGAACACCCCCAACAAACTTAACTTTATTTTTACCCCAACCCCAAAAATTTCAAGACAAACAAAAAACACACACAATCCGATTATTTTCAGATTGATTTTTCAGATGACAATTTTTAAATATCTGAATAAACAATTTAAAAACTTGATTTTAACATTGGGAATCTAAAACTTGAATCATTGTTTCAAAAGCTGAGTGCTTTTATCGCATTATAAAACTGGTATTTCACACGTGGTGAATCCATCATCCATCACCTTCGTCAGGTTGTGCGAAAGTCGTTCCACAAGCCCCTCTATAAACTTACTTAAAATTTTTTGCTCCCTTTATTGGTAATTGTCGGGAAATCGTGTTATTTGCTTGTAAAGATGGTGAAATAATGGCGCATAAAGGCGCAGCATGAAAGAAAACGTCGCCGTCCTCGAACTGAAACAGAAATAATATAATGAAGCAAAGAAAATATTTATTTGAGAAATTAGATTTGTTTCCCTGCTGTGTCGCGTCTAAAATTGCTCGCGCGCTTCCAATCAATACCGGCGACTGCCATTTCTATATTTTCTATAGTCGGAGTGTTTTCACAAAAATACATTATTCAAATCAAGCTCTTAAATATTCAGACGTTACAATATAATTACGTATTAAGGTGAGAGAGGAACGATACTTTTAATTAGTTCCTTTTGAAGGGCTGCGACGCCTTGCCTTCATTTCCTTCATTTACCGGCGACGAGAATTATTTCCTCCTCGGACCGGGAGGACGCAGGGTTGACCCCTTACACATATTCTCGACAACGGTATTCGATAATTATATTTGTGTAATTGTATAATTAATTCTACAACGGAGACGTCTTCCGTGTTTCGTTCTTCGACTATAATTAAACCGACGATCGTGAAATAATTTTTGCTCTTTAATACCGAGGCGGCGAATTGTCCGTTAAATATAGTGCCCGGATTTCTCTTTTTTTGCGCTAAAGACTAATTCATACGTCAGTGTATCTAGTTGGCAGCGATCTGGAGTCAAGAATAGGCCTCTTCTTTTGTACACGGACGCGCCTTGCTGAATGTATTATTTTAATTCGACTGTTTTGTCTTCAGGACAATTCCTCTTTCATCTAAATACTTCACACATTCTTACATTCTCGCTTTTCAAAACCTCTAATCCACAAGAATTTCTCCAAAAATACCTCACTCATAAAAAAATTGAATCTACATTCTGTTGGAAATGGATTTTAAGAACAATTTGTTGCTTTGATTTAAAAAGGAGCTTAATACCTACAACCTCTTTTTCGTGTATTATATTAGTTTAGAATTAAGGTTTGGTTAAATCTAATTTAAGTTTTAGTGGTTTTTATACTTTTTACTGGGTAACAAAACTTTCTTTGAGGAAGAAAAAATTGTATCACCAGAGATTTTAATTGAGCATTTGCTTGGAATTTTGAATATTTTATAAGTCATTATTTTGTGGCCATTTTACGGTTTAATATCTTTTTTCATACGACAACGTAACTGCCATAATTTTTTATCGTTACACTAAAATTAGAAACAGCTGAAAAATGTCTTGATTTCGTCTTAGTTTCCCTCTACGTACTTGTCTACAATTTAGTAATGACAAAAATAATTCGTAAAGATGATTCGAAAGACACATGTCGTTGATTACGTAACGTTATAAATAATAGATCGCATTAATCATGTTGTCCTTTTGTTGTATGACATGATCGTGATTTGTTTTCACGCCGCATGCACGTTGTTCATTTGGTACATATAATCCAACAACTGATAAATTAATTTAGTGATTACATTATTATAGTATAAGATGTCATGACCTTCGAGCCGTATCTAATTATCGTGTTAAGAAATCAAGAGAATGTCGCGCGCCATGCGCCGGCCTTAGGCCATCACTTGAGCAAATGGAAGTAATTAGTGACAATTCCGGTACGGAAATCGTTACAAGCCCGATTACCAAAACTCACTTACCCCTCCAGTTTTCTTGGAAATCTGACGCGCAATGAGGTTAGCTCATAAAAATAATTGAAACAAGACGCTTTTGTTTGGTCGTAAAGTGCCATTGAAACAAATACAAAGATTCATATTTTTCTTTTCTTGACCAAGCGGAATCGAAATGTTTAAGTTATCTGTTTCGTTTTCATTTTTGTTCCAACAAAAAAACTCGAAAATCGCACCAACCGTTTAGGCATCTAATACATAACCCAGATTCAGTAACTTCGTTTTACCTAAACTAATCATTTTTTTTTTTTCAATATCTAATTCATTTTCTCATCTATCAATTAAGTGTATTTTAGACCAGAAACCTAGAGTTAATTAAGCCAAAATGTCAAGACAATTTTCAATTTAAATCCTTGCTTCAGGTTGTAACCTGAACGCGCTCAATTACAGTCATATTTGTTTTAGGTTTTAGCCTGAAAAACCTAAAACTTTTAGGATCACATTCTCAATTCTTGTTTTAGCTTAGAGCTTGAATCAACCATGTTTTAAGGTTTTTAAACCCGTTTTTTATTCGAATATTCTCATATCATTGTTATAGGTTTACACCCTATTTAGTGTGAACTTGAGCATAGTTATTGTTTTAGGCTTAAATTTGAGTTGCTGACCTTTGTCAGTTTATTGTTTTAGGTTTACTTTCTGTTAATTTTTCAGGCTGAATTTTTTCGGATTTTACTTATTCCTTTGTGTTCGTCAGGACTTGGGTCTAAATCCGTTATTATCTAACATTGCGTGTTTGAAAATAGTTGTAAAAATGCTATTGATGTGCGTTGTTTGGTATTTCTAGGAATCCCTTGTAGATAATAATCGTTTTTCGTTTACGTTTTATCTTTTAAACACGATTATAAAAAGTCAGTTAAAACAAATGCTAAATAAGTTAGTTATAATAAATTCGTCGTCAGGTTGTTAAGTCTGTTTAGGTTTCGGTATCTGTACACAATTTCGCGTTTTTATTAGATGGTAAAGTCAAACACGAATCGAATAAAGTCGCGAGGTCGTGCATTTCCACTAATGTAAAAATTTCGTTGTTTCAGAAACATGTCTTCGAAGCGGAAGAGTCCTCCGACGAAGCTTCAAGAAGGCGAAGGAGGCGGCCCGCTGCCTCAGCTCGGTGGCGGCAGCGACGGCGGCGGCTTGACGGATCTCGACGAAACTAGTAGTAATAATCTAAGTGACGGCGAAGACATCGGCGCCGGGGGCGGCACGATGGTCAATAACTCCAGCGCGTTTTATAAACTATCCGAATCGTCATCTCCGAGTGTTTCAGGCAGCGAATTAGACGACGGTCTCGACGACGACCGAACGCCGCCTCCATCCAAAAGGATGTACTCAGAAGCGCCGAATTTGCTAATGCCGACGCTGAACGTCGCCGAAAGACGTAGAAACTCGTCCGAGTGCAGTTCGCCTACTTCCGATATTAAGACTTTACATTACAATAACAATAGTAGTTTACACAATAATAATAGTTCCTCGCATCCGATGAAAAGATCCATGGATGACGTCCTTAAAAGACTCACTTCCAAAATAAATAACAGCACGATCAAAGAAGAAAAAAGGCCGACGCCGTCTTCCACGCCCAACTCCACCAACAATTCGTAAGTCACTATTCTATTTTACAAACTGCGTACAATAATATCAATAACCTTGACCTTATGATAACACCACTACCCGATTAACCCAATTCTTTTCCGCTTTTTACATACTGTATCGCCAATATATAGATGCATGATTTGTTTTTTATTTTTTATCTCCTTATCCATTCATTATGTCTACTCCTTGGTTCGATTCGACATAAATCAAACCGTTATCATAAAACGGAAACGACAATTTATGTAACAACTTATATACACAAACGAGATTGTGACTTTAAAACAATTGGAAATTGGTACAATGGACTGAGTTTATCTTAGATTTAATGGGCTCAAAGTCGTTGGGATGACACCGATGGAATTCTATATTATGATTTAAAAATATACGCAGCTGCTGGTGCACCTTTTGATGTGTTTTTTTCGGATCATTTATCATAAAAGACAAAGCGTGGTCTTGCCAAGAGAGTAGAGCTATTGTACCTACTACAAGATATTTAAAAATGATTTATACCTGAGAAATTCTGAAAAACAAAAAGCGCCAAAACTGAATTACTTTTAGTCTGAAATGAAATTTAATATTTGGATAGGTTCTTTACGAATTTTTTTGAATAACTAAAGAGTTTTTTTTGCACTTGCATGTCAATTCGTTTAAAAATATTAATCATTTTGCAGAATAAGAAAATTAATTTATCAAATCTTTTTCAAGAAATCAAAAAATTACCTTCAAAAAAAACGTACTAATGCATCAAATATATGTATGTACATACTTACAGTGCAAAAAGTAATCTTATTTTAGGTGAATTCGGATAATTCTACATTGTATTGGAGAGTCTGAAGCATAAACAATGCTTTCTATTCAGAATTGATGAGTTTCTTCTGGTTCATTTACTTTATAAATTCTTATCGCTTTAGTCTGTCAGATTTTGTATTACAAATCGTCTGGAACTTAAATTTAAAACTAAATTTTGGATTTGACCTTATACCGAATTATTGTCATTTTGAACTGAATTCTTAATATTTTTTTTACTTTTTAGCTGCTTACATACATATTGAAACGTCTAATATTTTGTTAGTAATAACAGGAATATTCATTAGAAATACAGTCAGTTGAATAATATTATGCTCATTAACAAAATAAAAACAAGACGACAAAATGATTGCAATTTCTCAGTAAAATAATAAATGTTCAGCAATACAATAATAAATAATATTTTTGCGCTGGGGCCATACATACAGGGTGTGTCAGAACTCGCGCCCCAGAGAAAAATTTCAAGTAAGATAAGATACCAGAAACATGGAAAAAATGTTTATGTAAAAAAATTTTGCCATTTATTTTTTGACAAGTGACATTTATATCTATTTAATAATACTGATAATCTTGTATATGTTTTTAAAGGTACAAAAAATTTGCCAATAAAAGCCACAAATAACATTAAACAGAGTTACAATTTAGGATACAGCTTTCTTGTTTCCTCTTCTTATAGCCTGTAGCAAAAAAACCTTGGAAAATTATTTTTCCAACAGAACTAAATAGAGCCAAAGTGCAAAATTTAAACTCCCATAACTTTGAAATTTTTATAGATAGAATTTTTTTAAATTTTTTTTCTGTTTCTGGTATCAGGTCATTTTTTCTCTGAGGCGCGACTTCTGGCGCATCCTGTATGTAGGATTATTCAGTGAGTGATTTTGAGAAAAAGATGGGCTATGGGAGTTTTCCGCTGCATTGACTTAGAAAATGCCTTAAAAATTTGTTCCATTTTTTTACCCATAGCAAATCTTGTTTTAATACTGGACTATCTAACATTTAGACTATTTTACCTAGCATTTAGACTATTTTACCTAGCATTTAGAATATTTTACTTAGCAAATTAATTACTTAGCACTTTATTAATCGCCGAATAAAGTCCGAGGTTTGACTCATCGGGGGTTTGGGGTTTGCTTTTTGTTTTGAATGACTATTGATTCTACGAGAATAGTCTGAATTAAATGGAATCCATATTATGATATATCTACAAGTATGTTAAATCTCTAATACAGGGTGTTGGTTTTTTATAAGAGATACGAGGTCGGTTAAATTAGGGCAAAGTTGCACATTTTTACGCTGAACAATAATCTGAAAGAAAATTTGTTGTCTTATTTTTAGTTTTTGAATTATTGGAATAAAACGGAAATTTGTATTTTTCGTTTTTATTTTTTCAAGCAAAAAATAAAAGACCTAAGCGTTTTTCACTTGGACGTTCTTAAGGCACTTTTTTACAAGGAATCTAAATCTGTCATCGTATTTTCCAAGGCGCTCTTGATATTAGAGTTACACTCAAGTTTGGATTTTCTTATGGACGTCATATTTGATTTATGTATTTTTGAAAAGTCTTTTTGTCCCTGATTACAACGATGTATCACACGATATCATCATCAAATTTTACAAGCTGATTAAAATAATAATAATAAGAAAAATCGTTTTTGCAAAAATGCTTTGTAAAAAATGCCACCAATTTTAACAAAGTAAATTTTGAAGCTGGTGCATTCGAGCATCTTTTATTACTTTGTGTTGTTTTGTTTTGCGAAGAATAAATTCTAGTTTATCACGTTGTTCCTATTTCAAAACCTTAGTTTTTAAGTAGGTAAGCTTGACGGAAATGTGACTTCCAGATCTAAATTCAATTGAACTACCAAAATTATGTTTTTAGTTTTTGCTTGAAAAAAGTAAAACGAAAAATACAAATTTCCGTTTTTTTCCCAATAATTCAAAAACTAAAAATGACACAATAAATTTTCTTCCAGATTATTGTTCAGCATAAAAATGCGCAATTTAGCCCTAATTTAACCGACCTCGAATCTTTTATAATAAGTAAGATCCCCATGGTAGAGCTCGAAAAACGAACACCCTGTATATTTAAGTAAATATAAGTATTTACACCACTTTTATTAAAACAAAAACTATTTCGTGTTATACTCGTAAAAATCAATGCATTCCCCTAAATTTGAATCATTTTCAACTGAAATCCGCCGTTTTTATTGTTAGTAGGTTACTTACTTGGTTTGATCCTGGTAATTTTGAATCCCTCAAAAATTAAGCGCCAACACCGCAACGTTGTCTAATAAATAGAATCTAAATCACATATGAGCTTGTTGTTTGGGATTATGATTTCACTAGTATTAAAATTTATCATTTTCATTGTGAAATCTTGAAGATGAATTGTGCTGAATCTGAGTATTTTATTTTTCGTTGTTTTTGCAATGAACGACTGGAAATGAGGCCAGATTTGTTTAGATTTAATCCGGAATCAAATTCCCATATTAATCTCGAATCCTAATCGCCGATTTCCGGCAAATCCGCTGCAAAAACCTCTCACTAATCATCCTAGGTCTCACAATTACGAAATCACGCAACAAACCGCAATTAAGCAAACCGGCCGTACGCAACACCCGTTTTTCCCGTTTGTCGTCATAATTAAAGAAAAATCAACAAACAATTTAATCGAGTTCCTCGATCGATCTGATTAAAATTGCATTCAGTTAGGGAGTAGTGCGGGACATCTCGAACCCATTTAAAATTTATATTAAATCTCCACTACTGTATTATGCATTACCTTTATCCGTTCAGCATTCAGATGGAAGTCCTGACGCAAGCAACACCCTTCTCATCTCAACGACGCTTTGCTCCTTGACCGGAGCGTGCATGCTGCACCAGGTCAATGCAGTTTATTTGTAGTGTAATGCATTTCAATGATGAAATTAGTTGGTACGGAACGCGGACGCAAGACGGCTACTGCATAATTCAGTGTTTTATTAAAAGGGGACTAGTGGTTCAATAGGACTGAAATAATTACATGGTTTCAACAAGTCGAATTTTACGAGCTTTGTGCTAGAGGATGGATAAAAGCCTACGTCTGTTTTTAAATTATCATAGCCAGAAGCAATAAGTGCTTGGAGATAAACAACACTGGAAGAATATAAATGAACTCGACTATTATTTTTATCTTTACTACACGAAACGAAGTGAAATTTGTGTCAAATAACGAAATTTTAAAGGGGAGGGAAGGATTCATAAATAATAAAAAAGAAGGGTTCGGAGAATCACTTTGAGGCAGTTAAAATCCGCTCCCCTTTTTATAGACTAAACAGTCAAACTAATTAGATTTATTTTTGTACATCTCATTAAAATGAAGAGTGATTTATAATAACAAGAATATTTTAGACAAGTTTTGGGAAATAAAAATTTCGTGGGCACTAAAACCAAATTTAAGAATTTCTTTTTTTAATTAAACAAAATGTCATCTTTTCAAAAACTTGTTCCCTATAATCGCCCAACAAATGTGCAAACAACCATAAAACCATATCTTGATGTAAAATTACGTGTTTAGCCACTATTATAATTTACAATAAACGTGTGGTGTTTAAATCTTTTAAGACAAATTACTTCTAATTGTTGTGAGAACTAGAAAACAAGACAATTCTTTAAACTCAAAACTTGGATCAATATTTCAGGACGAAACTCAAATTTTCAGTTACTTCTAGAAGCTTATATCAACTCAAACTTTACTTAGAATCCGTTTATTTTCTGATAATCCGGTTTAAAGGCAGACTTTACGTTTTACTTCAGGAACATAAATCAGGTTCTCTTCCAAAATACTCAAATTTTTCAGCTCACAGTTCGAGGAAAATTTATTTTTTCCGGATTATTAACCGAAAATTTGTTTGCTATATAGATATCATAAAATCATATCATTTTAACTATTAACTGTTATTATATAACTTAAAATGTAACTACATAATGTTCTGTTCTCGATTTTTTTAAGTTTATGACAAAACTGGGTAAGATACTGAGAAAAAGGAGCTAATAAGCTATAGGTACAACTACTATAGTAAAGCTTATCTGTACCTACGAAAGCTAATACAAAAAAAGATCTCAAAAATTAAAGCGAAGAGGCCATTAATTATATTTTAAAGAAATGTTAATAAATGAAAAATTGAGATTTGTAAAAAATTGATTTCACAGTTTATAAAAAAATATATTTGTTTGTATTTATAAAAATAAAAAAAATACATAGATAAATAATGATAGGTATATAAAAAAGATAACATAATATGTATAAAAGTTATATTAAATTTTATTAGCTTTAAGGATAACCATTTTTTTGTAACAATATTGAGACGAGCTTTGACATTTTTTGTTCTTTTATCTTGAAAGTATTTGAAAATTTGTAATTCTATTTTTTTCTTACTTTAAAATTTCACTTATAATCTTCATTACTTCCTACCCAATTGTACTGAAATTGTAGCTGCTTAAATAGCTAGCTCAGCTCTGATTCAGAATCACATTTATTTTAGTGAAAATTTGTCGTTCCGGTAGTAAATTATTAAAAAGTGATTAATGACCAATAAAATGACATAAAACTATGACGTGTTGGTCACTGTGGTAATAGATATTTTACTCAATTCAACTGAAATAAAAATCGATTTATTTTTTAATTATCTAAACCTTGATCAGTTTCTCATGTTAAAATGTTTTCTGTATTTGACTCAGTAATTTGATTTTCTTTGTTTATAAGGTTTCAACAAGTTAAGACTGAAAGTCGATTACTCGAAACAATACTTCAACGACGTTAGAACTTGAATTAAATATATCAACTGAGATTTAGCTTTTATTTTGTGATAATTCAGTTCAAAGGGGTCTATAAATCTAATTCTTTTCTAATCCGTCCATTTTTTTTTAGCTCAGACTCTTAGTAATTATCTGCTTGTAGGTAAATAAAACAGATTCTTTTATTGCTTGTTTTTATTAATCAAAAATTTATTTTATATTCGGTGTCAATGGAAGGAATTTTTGTGATTTTGCATCGTTAGGTACCTGAAATTTGAGTCTCTCGCCAGTCGCCAGTTTTTCACCTAAAATCTTTTTTTTTCTAGGGACGTCGAACCCACCGCGGCCATCCAGCAAGCCCTCTCCGGCGACAACTTCGTGGAAAAGGACCGCAAACTCTCCGAACTGATCCTGCAGCTGCAGATGGTCCGCGAGCAACTCATCTCTCAGCAGCAGCAACAGCAGCAGCAGGACACGAAGGTTCGTTCCCTTTTATCCCGATGCAAATTTAATTCGGTCGAGAGAATCAAAACCTCCTCAAAGAAAGAGCAAACAACGCCATCACAAAGACCTTCCGACAATCGTCTCTCTGTGTGTGTTGCGTTGCATATTTTATTTCTATTAGGGTCGGAGTCGTTCCTTTGAGGGCGGCCGATTCCATCGGACATATTTTCGTCTCGCCATTGTTCGAAATGCTATTATCCCACCTGTCAGACAAAACCGACTCATCCGTCACCGAGTGACCAATGGCGATACGTCGGATTTGTGCCAGCCAATGGGCGCGTGCGTGGGTCGCGACTGAAACAATAATGCTGATTTTTCAGACGGTTTTCAGGTGACCGACGGCTTTTCCTACCAGACTTTACTCACTTTACAAATTTTATCGAAAATTTTTGAAGAAAATCACTGCCTTTTTAAATGTGTTAACGAATAACATACTAGTGATATTTTAGATTTTTCAGCGATTTTGGGGTGGTTAGGGTCGTGGTCTCCCCGATTTTATTCGTTTTAAATTCCATTTCGCTAAGGTTTAATCCGGGATTTTATCGTCAAGACTTTATCGCTGTCCGATTGCGAATACTTTGTAATGATGGCTTGAATATTTTAATTTATGATTCGCTTTAACCTCGCTGATATAAAACTAAGAACGCCGCTGTTTTAATAGATCGTAATAAAACGAGGCTCAAAGTTCCGATGGACATCATTCGTTGAATTTATTGCGAAGAACGCGCTTTTAACTAGCCAAGTACACCTTTTACAAGCCGCAGGTCTCTCCGAAAATTCCACCACGAAAAAGCTTTTATGGAGTTAAAAACGAAACAAAGAACAAATATTTATGGAAATTAAACACTGCTTTTCTTGAGATACTCGTGACCGAATCGGTTGTAATTCATTTATTACAAGCTTCATGTAATGTTACGTTGTGTTTTCACATTGACTGCTAGCAAATTTATTCTACAGCTTGTAAATCTATAAGTGGCAGGTCAATTATGTAAATTTACATGTTGGACGATGACTTTTTACACAATAAATTAATTCAGAAAGGTAGCAAATATGTATTTCATTCAAAAACATCAGGAAGAAATGGTATTTCCTTCTTTTATTCTGACATTTCAGGTATTTTTTCAATGAATCGATGAAAATCACTGTATTTATTAGTAACTAATTATTCTTGTATAAATATTTTTTACAATATGTTCATTTAAGTATCCGGACTTTGATAAGTAGTACTAGGATATTTTTAAAATTTTGAAATTACATCAAATTAACGAAAAGAAAAAAATGTTTAATTTTTTTTATTTTAAAACAACAAATATTGTTTACATACATATAAAGCGATTATACTAACGACGATACCTTAGGAAATTAATCTTATTGTCTGTTTATTTGACTGAGGTAACTATCTGAAAAGTAATAATCAGAAAATAATAATTAACTTGAAAATATACGTTTATTTTTTTTGTTTTACCTAAATAGCATGACAGTTTAAACTAATGTTTTCAGTTTTTCGGAAAGCCTTGCAAATCAGAAATTTTTGTTTTGATTTTTTTTACTTTCTCTTTATTGTCTGTTGAATAAAAAATCTTGTACTCCGTCAGTAAATGACGGGCAATCAGCTTTGAAATTACAAATAGCAGTTTGTGTATTGTTGGTTGCGTGTTTTTTCCGTTTGCGATCGATTTAATATGCGGTTGGTCCGTTAATTAGAGTCTGTTTTAGTTGAATGCCAGCCGGAATAATTTAATCGGGCACAAAGGTCTTTGTCAAATATTGATATGGATGTGTATAATAACGACTGCGTTTGTGATGAGTTCGTATGTGATGTATACAATAACAACTAATTTCCATGATTCCCATTGATGTCCCCGATGTCACATAATAACGGTCCTATTAAAAGCTAATCATAATGTACAATCCCTCCCTCCCTATTAGTGGATTTTTGGGCCGAATATTGTCCGAGTCAAAATAAAATTCGTGAGCGATAGCCTTTGATGACCTTTCTACTGGGAAACAATCGCATTGGATTGTGATTTTTGGTTATTATTTTGCATCGATTATCATGCGTTTACATAATTGGATCCATGCAAGTCCAACACGAGTGACCCGGTGACATTTTGACCCGTGTACACATTGTTATTTATACCAAAATACACGTTCGAATGATATTTGGAGTTTGGATAAAGGATGATTTCTTGATTCCGAAGGGAGCGCTCGTCGAAATAATCAAACAGACAAATAGATCGGTCGGAACTGTTGAACAAACAGCAGCATCACATCAGAAGGCACAAGTTTGATTCCCATTACTTAATTACACAGAAACTGGAATGCCAAATCGCGATGAATCAAAAGGGGCTAGTTCGGGATCCTTTGATAGGATATATGGCGGGGTTGAAATCAGATGCACACGGCTAATGATAACGAGGTTATGTACAATTACATCCTGTGCAAATACGGACTCACTTCGGATCTAGCGGCTCAAAGCCACTTTTTACACAGATGAGGACGAATTCGACCGGAAACGTACACTTTACGAAATACTTGACTCGGGAAGAAAGCACTCAGAGAAATTTATTGTCACAAACTTGACTCACATTTGCTCTATAAACAACTCTATAAAACAGCAAAAATGTATTTCTTTAAACAACAGGGAAAAGAGTGACATTTTTTCAGTTTCTGATTACTTTATTAAAATTTGTAGCAGAATTTCGAACTTGTGGCTTACAAACCTTAAAACTTATAAATGCAATGTAAAGATAAAAGCTCTAGAAAAACACTTGGAAGTCTAATTTTGAAAATAAAATACCAGTAGAAACAAAATTTTATAGAAAAGTAGAAATCTGGACTTCAAAATTAGAGTTCCAGTTCCTTTATCAGAATGTTTGGAGGAAAATTAAATTTTCTTATAGAAACATTAATGTCTGGCTTAGAAATTTTGAATATTTAGAAATTACGGCTTTAGTCTAATGAAAAGCTTCTACTTTTGAGTACACCTTTCTAATTTTTTCTACATATTGTTGAAAGTGTGTTCATTGACGTGTTGACTACCTGATTTAATACCACTTCAAAATGCTTAGATTTTATATTGTCTGTGAGAAAATTCTGAACGTGTTACAGTGTTTTCACTAATCCATAATTTCAAGCAAACTGGAGAACAAAAAATGCAAATCTTTGAAGGCGTACAAAAACAGATTTTTCTATGGTGCAAGTACGACGCGTGGTAATTGAAATTTTGCGGTATTATGTTAATTAAGTCCCAATTCATGCGTCTGATTGTATGTTGCAAAGCAGATTTTTAGTTGGTGTGTTTGGGTATTATGTAGTATCTTGTGTTAGTTGAAAGAGGGTCTTAATTTCCGCAAGGAAATAATCATAATTGAGATGTCGGTGGCGGTCGGGGGCGGCAGCGCCATTTCAATAGCTACAATCTCTTTGTAACCGTGTGTATTTATGTTGTTTAAAGTTTGTATCAAAGCGAGCGAGCGCTCAATTCCATCAGAGAGACGTCTTAGAGGGTTGCTTGCGCCGCATTATGCCATCTTGCCGAATTGTTGCCGAAGAGGTTGATTGGTTCAGTTGGCAGAGACAAAGCTAGCCAAAGAGGCAAATCTCCGCCATAATTATGATCGAGTGACGAGATAATGGCGCTGTTTCCATCTTGATAGAATAAGAAGAGCTAAATCAGACGCGCTATCGCTCCAGATTTGCATAGGAGACGGAGGAACATGAGCCGATTTCGTAAAAATTTAACGCATAATTATCTGACGATTAATATGCGCGAGAATGAGAGTCCTGCTGGGCTGTCGATACTAGGCTTGTAATGCCTAGGTTTATTGCGGCCGTTTATTATTTTAATAGCACGGTTTCGCCTCTATGCGTGTTCGACACCAATGGGCTCTGCGTTAATACCACAAAGAGGCATATTGCGATAATCGGCCTTTCCCCGGATTTGGACCCCAACAATGATACGTAATATTCCGGACGGCTTTGTCAACAAATGATGAAGCTGTGTCTCTACATATATTCCATTCTGATTGCACTCAGTACACAAACGGGAATTCATTATGAAAACTTGGGAACAGCTTATTGGAACGTCTAAACAAACTTGCAACCAAAGGCACAGTCTGGCAACAAATAACTGGATTATTTATTTAGAAATTGATTTAATTTATAGTTTTTGTAATGAATAAAACTTGAATTATAAGTCCATCCCACAAGATTTAATTACGAAATTGTTATAAAAGAGTGCCAGAGCGCTTTCGAGAAGGTATTTTCATCCTCAGTGCCTATTTTTTAAACAATTAAAAACAATTACATACTTGAATTTTTTTTATAAATGTTCACTTACCAAAAATTTTTTTTGTAATGGTTTAACTTCGGATTTTACTTTGCTTTGTTTGGAGTTTTTGAAGTAGAAAATTTTGCTTTTGCGCTTTACGATGTCTTGCATGCGTTCTTCTGATCTTTAATCTAAAAAGAAAACGCCTTTTTTTAAATCAAAATTTCTTGTAAACTCTCATCTTCAACTTTTCTTAGAAAATCAAAAAAGATGTGTAGGTCAAATATTTAACACATCCCTATCTTTTTTCGTTTTTTTTTTTAATATTTGATAAATCTATAAAGTCGGTTAAGTTTTTTAATTAATGATTGCCAGAAACTAAACCCCTAAGACTATTGTTCTATTAATGTAGAATTCTGTCACTTTTCCAACAATAAAACTTTCTAAATCGAAAGTTTATGTTATTTTTTCTAAAAATTTTGATGTGATGTTGAAACTCACTTTTTACCTTTCGTATTAGTAATTCGAACATTACCACGTGAAGAACTCTATCATCTACATTTATTTTTGTTTAAAAACCCATATACTTTTTTAATCCATTCATGTAAGAAAAATGCTCGTTTGGATATCATACAAATTGTATATTTTATAAACTGTTAATTAGTTTCTAAATTTTTGACGTCTAACTTTAATATCTGTTTAT